ATCTTCCTACACTTTCCCCATTCCTAACCCCTGCCATCCATTAATCTGTTTTCTATCTCCACAAATTTATTATTTGATGTATGTTATAAAATGGAATCACATAGTATGTAACCTTTTGAAATTGACTTTTTTCACTCAATATATTCTTGAGATCCATCCAAGTTGTTCAATGTATCAATAGTTCCTTTCTTTCTCTGAGTAGTGTTCCATGTTATTAATGTACCATAGTTTAACCATTCACCTGCTGAAGGACATTTGCATTGTTTTCAGTTCTTGGCTATTACAAATAAGGATGCAATGAATATTTGTGTACAGGTTTTTATATGAACATTAGTTATTTCTCTGGGCTATATGCCCAAGAGTGCAAATGCTGGAATATATGGTAAGTACATGTTAGTTTTGTAAGAAATTGCTAAATTCTTTTCAGAGTCGCTATACCATTTTACATTTCCACTAGGTAGGTATGAGTGATCCAGTTCCTCTACATCTTTGCCAGCATTTGGTGTTAATCAGTATTTTCTGTTTTGACTGTTCTGTTAGGTATGTAGCAATATTTCATTGTGGTTTTAATTTTTATTTCCCTGATGGCTGAGGATGTTTTGTGTGCTTATTTGCCATTTATATGTATCTTTTTCAGCAAAATGTTTATTCATGACTTTTGTCCAATTTTCTAATTGGATTGTTAGGTTTTTTTTACTGTTGAGTTTTGAAAGTTCTTTATATATTATGGATAAGTTCTTTGTTGGATATATGGTTTACAACTTTTTTTTACCCCTAGTCTTTAGCTTGTCTTTTCTTTCAGAGCAAAATTTTTTTAATTTTGATGAGGTTTAAGTTATCAGTTTTTCTCTTTGTTAATTGTGTTTTTCTTGTCAATTCTGAGAACACTTTACCTTGCTACAGGTTGTGAAGGTTTTCTCTTAATGTTTTTTCTATGCCTTAATTTTTTTTTTATTTTTGCATTTAAGTTCATAATCCATTTTGAGTTAATTGAGGTTCAGGTTGAGGTGGTTTTGTTTTTGTTTTTTGTTTGTGCCTGTGGATGTGCTCAGTTACCCCAGCACCATTTGTTGGAAAGGAGTCACATCTTTTTTTTTTTTTTTAAACTGTATAAAGTGACCTTTTTCTAGTTTAAAGATTTTTTTTTTAAATTTAACTTTTGGGGTTTTAAGACCACAACCCTTGTTTTATTTGCATTTGCCTGCTATACCTTCATCTATAGTTTTATTTTTCAACCTAAAAGACATTTCGCTTTAGATGTGTTGTCTATTTTCATTATAGAGTTGGGTTTTGTGTAGTGATACAGTGTGAAGGTCTTTTTCTTTTACCTTATTGAGTTTAGCCCACTTAATATTTATTGATATGAAAGAAGTTGGTCTGTTTTGAAACAATTTTTTTTTTTTTGCTTTTAGTTTTTATAATTAATTAAAACCTTTTACTATGTGGTATATTTACTTTGGGTCAGTTATTTATAGGTTGTATGAGTATAAAGACATGTCCTCCTGTGTTCCAGGCTAATTAGAACTTTCCTTATGATTCAGGATTTTGTATGTGAATTTGTTTAGCTGTTATCTTTTCCCAGCCAATGGGGCTAGGCATTTTTTTTTCACAATACAAAACTTTGCCACCAACGCCCTTGCCATAGAAACAGAATGCTCTTTGTAAATAGGGTACTTCTGAATAATTTCTGTTTAATTTCTGCCTTCTCTCTTTTCTTATTGGAACCAAACTGAGGAGTTTCTGCCTGTAGCTGTGCATCTTGTTCTCATTGTTACAAACACGGGTTTTATGTTGTACACTTGGAAAAGTTTACCTTGCTACCTCTATGTGAAATACACAGTTTTCTTGTTTTGCTTCCACTTTTTGGAGCCCTTGTATAATAATCTTCATTGCTTTTGAGAATGCCTCCACATATTCTAATGGTTGAGTTTTAGTTATATCTCCGTTTTACCAGAGAAGGAGTTTGTGTTTTTATTTTGTTCTCCTTGTTGATTTGGATTGTTTTTAAGAAGAGAAGGGAGAAGTGGAGTTTATATCACTATTCTCTTACTAGATTTTAGTAATAGTATCTTTAATATCTTCATTATCTTCACAAAACATGGTGCTATATTTTAATACATTTTTGATTATTGAGAGGGCAAAACTTTTGTTGGGTTAACTAAAACAGATTCCTGAAGTACTTTAGTTCTTTTTCTAAATGTTATTTAAAAATACAAAAGGGCTAGGCATGATGGTTCATGCCTATAATCCCAGCACTTTGGGAGGGTGAGGCAGGAGGATCGCTTGAGGCCAGGAGTTCAAGACCGGTTAGCGTAACATGGTGAGATCCTCTGTCTACAGAAAAACAAAACAAAACAAAGAATTTCATTTTATTTAGCTCTAAAGAATAATACATTCTCTATGCTTTACCTTTTCAAGTTGTGAAGGCTTGACATATAGAAATGTCTGTTGTTTGATAGCTCATGTTATTCAGGAAGAATTCTGATAAAAACCAGAGGAAGAGTTTATTGTCCACAGAGGGGATTTAGTGAGTTTTATTTTGAAGAGAGTATATTTCAATTTTTGTAATATTTACACTTTGACAATTATATATGCTTTTTAAAAAGTATCTACTCATTTAAGCATATTTATACATTTCTTACAGAATTCTAGTCACTATCTCTGCAATTCCATCTTTTTTGTCCCCTGTTTTCTTTATGATTTTTAAAAGTCTTCTCTTCCAGCCTGTTACTACATCAGCAGGTTTGCAGTGGAGAAGCAATATGAGACTTTTCTATTGTAGGATTCTTAAGGGTTGTTAGCATTATGCTTAACCTATTCTCTTATCTCCCTTCCTTTGATAATAACAAAGCTTGGTGTTTTTTGTACTTTTATGTAGTTGTCTAAGTGCCATATAGGAATCTGGTGCTAGTTATTTGGTGTTTTCATGTCACAAAAATAAATCATCAAAATATAAAAAAAGTGTATTATCTATTTCTGTGTAACAAATTGCCCCAAAACTTAGTAGCTTAAAACAACAAATGTTTATTATGTCTCAGCTCTTGAGGGGCAGGAATATTAGGAGCAGCTTAGCTGGGTAGTCCTGTCTCAGGATGCTTTGTTCTAACATAAATTGCAGTTAAGCTGTTAGTCGGGTCCACAGTCATCTCAAGGCTTAACTAAATCCACACAATCACTGTAGATAAAGTCATTGCAGATCTTTAACCCCTCTGCTGTTATCCAATCTCCAGCGCACTGCTAGATATTTTATTTCTTTTTGCCATCATCAGCAATGGTATTTGCAATCCCCCTGACTTTCTTCATTCTGTTCTTGTGTTCCTTTTGCTGTTTCCTTGAGGCCTTTTTCTTTTCATATAGGGTGTTTATTTGGCAAGCCTGTGTTTAGTTTCCTTTTTCTTTGTATAATCCAAGGATTTATAGATCATACCAAAGACAGTTGTCTTACCACCACTAAAATGGGTTCTGAATTCAAATCCCAATAAGATATCTGGTGTGTTCTTAACTCATTTTGGCTGATTTTTTTCCTAATCTACTTCTAAATCCACACAGGCAGCTCTTAGCAGGCATCAGTTCTTTGCTGAGTGTTTACAACAGACTTTTCTTCCTTACTGCATGGACCTTTTCGTAGACTTCCCTGACTGTTCTCATATCATGGCAGCTACTAATCCAAGAGAGAGAAGTGAAAGAGGAGGCCCAAAATGGAAGCTGTGTTCCTTTATAACTTAATCTTGAAGTGATATACTATCACTCTGCCATGCACAGACCAACACTGCTGAGAGAGGACTACATAATGCTGTGAATACCAAGAGACAGGGATCACTGGTGACTACTTGCAGGTTGACTCCCCAAAATAGCAATGCTATATTTCGGAGTGAAGGACTAATTTTCATACTTCTGAATTTATTTCCAGTACAGTGGATTCTTTTTAAAAGAGATACAGTGTATTTTTTAAGATGATGAACAATGTTTATATACTTATTTCTGTCGCCCAGGCTGGAATGCAGTGGCATGATCTTGGCTCACTGCAACCTCCTCCTCCTGCGTTCAAGTGATTCTCCTGCCTCAGCCTCTTGAGTAGCTGGGACTATAGGCATGTGCCACCACTAGTGGCTAATTTTTGTATGTTTGGTAGAGATGGGGTTTCACCATGTTGGCTTGGCTGGTCTCGAACGTCTGAACTCAGGAGATCCACCTGCCTTGGCCTCCGAAAGTGCTGAGATTACAGGTGTGAGCCACCATGCCCAGTCTTATGTAATTATTTCTACCATGTTCTATGGAGAATAAGTATTTTGCTATGTTTACATTGAATTTAAGAGAGTACCCTGACAAGTTTGCAATGACGATTATTCATTTAGTTTAATTCTTTTAATTCATTTGATGTCTTACTAATGCAAGTTCTGAAGAATTATCCTTATAAAGTATTTGGAAGGAGATATTTAGCTAATTTTACTTATCAAGTATTTATTTGAAGGTAAGGTTTTTGTTTATTTTTCCCAGATAGCTTAATCACTTAGAGTAGAGACTGTCCCTCTAATGTTAAATAATAGGGAAGTAGTAGCAACTTACATTTGTATAATGCTCTTACATTTGTAAAAGCATTTTTCCTTAATGTGTGGGAATAGACAAATTAAGTTTTTGGAATTGATGCTTGCTTGGTAATAAGGGATTCTAATACTGTTCTCAATCTTTTGGGGGGTGCATAGATCCCCTTCAGATTGAATGAAAGCAATGGTCTTTCCAGAGAAATGCACGTATGCACACAAAGGTAATTTTGCAGTTTAAGGGGATCATCAGAAGGTCTGTGGACTTTAGGTTGAGAACTCTTTCTTTGAAAGCACAGTTTCTAAAGTTCTCTGGCAGAAGGAAGTGCTTTTTGGTTTTCTGTATAAAAGGAAACAATGTACCTAACTCTAATTTGAAATTCATGTTTTCATTTTACATGGCTTCTAATTCACTTTTTCTAATGATGGTTCGTGTTTCTTAATTTTGCTTCCCTTTAGCATCTGGAGCATAAGAACAGTACTTATTTTCTTCTTTTCCAAGAGAACAGAAAGAAATAGTAAGTTTAATTTCAATTTTTAATAAATACTTTAAAAAATACCTATCTTAGAATGTACTGGTAAGACAAGTTGTAAAATAATATATTGGGATGATAATGTGGTAAATATTGAAGTTATTGTAAATCATGAGAAAGGTTATAAATGATCAAGATGGTTCTGTTTTTAATTTGTGTTATTTCCGTCTTGTTCAATTAGATGTTTTTTTACACAAAACAAACATTTTTTTAAAAATTTGAGACAGAATGAGGGGGATGGGAAGAGCCTGTTGCCCAGGCTAGAGTGCAGTGGCACCATCTCAGCTAACTGCAACCTTCACCTCCTGGGTCAAGCGATTCTCATGCCTCAGCCTCTGGAGTAGCTGGGATTGCAGGCGTGTGCTACTACACGCAGCTAATATTTGGTATTTTTATAGAGACAGGGTTTCACCATGTTGTCCAGACTGGTCTCAAACTTCTGAGCTCAGGAAATCCGCTTGCCTTGGCCTCTCAAAGTGCTAGGATTGCAGGTGTGAGCCACAACACCTGACCGAAGCAAACATTTTTAAATAAAGAGAGTTTATATTTGTTAAATTAATCCTTATGGACAACTTAGTTTGTTACAGAGCCTTGTTTCGTTTTTACCTCAACCCATATTTTTACCCCATATATTATTTTGAATTATATTCCAAATGTATCTCTCTATTTTCATACGTACAAAAGAATTCTTAATATCATAAAATATTAAATATAAAAATACTTTTCAGTTGTCTCATGAGTATCATTTGCTTTTAAAAAATTTTGTTTGACTAAGGATCCAAATAAAGTTTTTACAAATATTAATATATGGCTTTCAAATTGCCCTCTTCACTCATGACCTGTCTTCTTTTCTGCTCTCATTAGGTCCTATAATCGACCCCAATGACTGTTTCCTTGCTGACACTCTTGACCCTTTTGCTCCTCCTTCTCGTCCTACTTATCTGTGAAAGCCTACCCTCTTTAAATATGATTATACGCCTAATCAGTGACTGGCAAAACAGTATTCTGATTAAATACATTTACAGGTTTAATCTCATCAAAGCAGCTAAACTTGTTAGAGGAAAATCATATAACGTGCTCACCTCACCAGACTTACCTTAAATCTATGATTGCAAATATCAAATATGTACTTAAAACTACTTTATGGTTCTATTGTAATTCTTCAGTAAATTCATCTTTTTCTCTTTCAGCTTGATGTTTGTTATTGCATTTCTGCTCAAATCACTAATACCTGCCTCCCTACCAAAAACCAGCAATCAAATCTAACCAAACTAAAACCCACCAGCCAACCAAATAAAAAAAATCAAAAGTCACAAACAAACAAAAAAACCCTACAAAATCTACCTGCTCACTCTTTACCTATAGTTTTACTTTATACAGAAAATAGATGTAAACAGATAAGAGCTACCTACACCACCAACTGCAGTTGTCCTTCAGTATCTGTGAGGGATTGGTCCCAGGACCCTCAAGAATGAAAATGGTATAGAATTTGGATGTAACCTACATGTCCTCCCCATACTTTAAATCATTTGTAGATTACTTGTAATCTCTAACATAATGTAAATGCTATAAAATAGTTGCTATACTGTATTACTTTTAAATTTGTATTATTTTTTATTGTTGTGTTGTTATTTTTTTCTGAATATTTTTGATTCATGGTTGATTTAATTGTTACGAGTGCTGAACTCATCCACATGGAGGGCTGACTGTATATCAAGTTAGCTCTATCTGTACTCATTATGGTTTCATCCTTCATTGTATTTTGAAAGACTGGCCTTGATCTTATCTATGGCTAACTTGTCATTTATGCTCTGGATTCTAAATACTCTGGCTATCTCCAGAGCTTTGCTCTTATAGTTATCTCCTGTAGTTATCATCTCTTTTGCATCATTTTCTATTTTATTATTCCATTGGTATATAATCCTGTCTCAGTATGACTATTTGGGGTGTGGGGGAACCTCCCCTGACCCTGCATTTCTGTTAAGCTACCACCAATTTCTCTTTCTTGTTCAAAACAAAATTTCTTAAAAAGTTGTTTATAGTTGGTATCTCCTCTTTTCCACCCACTTATTCCTTCTTAGTATACGTTGTTTAGGTTTTGTTTCTACCGTTTTTTACTGCAGTGGCTCATTTCAAGGTCACTCATTAACTATGTCTTGTCAAAGCTAGTAATCAGTTCTCTTTTCTCATCCAGCTTAATCTCTTAATAGCATTTGAATTAATTCAGTTATTCACCCTTTTTCTGAAAAATTTTTATCTTTAAGCTTCTTTGACAACACTTCACTGGTCATTTCTTTTTAGTTTTATTTGCTTTACATCTTCTACTAGAATTCTGCCTTTGACGTTTTTTGATAACTTGTTTGAGTCTGTGCTGTCTAATAGAATCTTCTATGATGATGAGCATAATCTGTATGTACTGTTCAATACGGTATCTGCTAGCCATTTGTGACTGTTGAGCACTTGAAATGAGGCTAGTGTAAATGAAGAACTGGATTTTAAATAGCTTAAATTTAAATAGCCCCATGTGGCTACTGGCTACTATTATTACATTAGACAGTGCATCTCTAGATGATTTTATTCACTTCCACAGATTTAAATATTGCCTATTTGTTAATGATTCCCAAATTTCAATCCTTAGTCCAGACTCTTCCCTTCAGCTATAGACTTGTATAGCTAGTTATGTAATTGACATTTCCACTTAGGAGTGTAGTAGGCATCTCATGAGTAAAATGGCCAAAAGAGAATTAATATTGCTCCTCCCCTTTATTCCCACTCATATCTGCTTTTCCCTTTGTCTTCTCCATCTCAGTAAATGCTTACCCTATATGATGAATAGTTAAAACTTGTTTTAGTTAGGGTTCTCCAGAGAAACAGAACCAGTAAGAAATATTATGACGAATTGGCTCATGCAATTGTGGAGACTGAGAAGTCTCAAGATCTGCAGTTAGCAAGCTGGAGACCCAGGAGGGCCAATGGTTTAGTTCCAGTCTAAGTCTGAAGGCCTGAGAACAAAGAGAGCCACTAAGTGTAAGTTCTAGTTTGAAAGCTAGCAGGTTCAAGACCCAGGAAGAGCTGATGTTTCAGTTTGAGTCTGAAGGCAGGAAAAGATAGATGTCTTTGCTCAAGGGAGTCAGACATGGGGTGTTCACACTCACTGGAGGGAGGAACAAACTTTTTGTTCTGTTCAGGCCTTCAGTTGATTGGATGAGGGCCACTTCATTAAGGAGAGCAATCTGCGTTACTCAGTCTATGGATTAAAATGCTAATCTTACCCCAAAATAGCCTCACAGACACCCAGAATGTTTGACCAATTATCTGGATACACTGTATGGCCTAATCAAATTAACCATCACAAGACCAAAAATCTAGGAGCCATTTTTGATCTTCTTTCATATTCAATCATGTTACTGGCAAGTCATATAATCTTTACCTCCAAAATTATCTTGAATCTGACCAGTTCTCACCTTTACTACCACAGTTCTAATGAATTATCATCTCTTGGTTGCACAACTGCTTTCTCACTAGTCTGTTTTTAAGGTGTACATCAGACCTTTGGGTCCTTTGCTTAAAATTTTCTAATAGCTTCCCAATGCAACCAGAGTGAAATCTGAATTCTAACCCTGACTTTCTAGCTTATTCCTGTTTCTCCAACCTCATCGTTCACTCTCCTTTATTCACTTTTGCTCCAAGCACACTCAGCATCTTTCTGTACTACAAACAAATTCTCTGAACCTTACAGATTCTTTTTTCTTTTTCTTTCTTTACTTTCTTTTTTTTTTGAGATGGAGTCTCACTCCATTGCCCAGGCTGGAGTGCAGTAGCATGATCTCAGCTCACTATAACCTCCACCCTGCTGATTCAAGAAATTCTCCTGCTTCAGTCTCCCAAGCAGCTGGGATTACAGGCACCCACTACTATGTCCAGCTAATTTTTTTGTATTTTTAGTAGAACTGGGGTTTCACCGTGTTGGCCAAACTGGTCTCTAACTCCTGGCCTCAAGTGATCCGCCCACCTCAGCCTCCCAAAGTGCTGGGATTACAGGCATGAGCCACCATGCCCAGTTGAACCTTACAGCTTCTTAATTTATAAAATGGAAACAGAAAGAATGAATAAGGCCTAGTGTTTGATAGCACAGTAGGGTCACTATAGCCAATTCTAACTGTGCATTTTAAAATAAAGAGTGTAAATGGATTGTTTGCAGTTCAATGGATAAATGCTTGAGGGGTTGGATACCTCATTCTTCATGAAGTGCTTATTTAACATTTCACATTGTATGCCTGTATCAAAACATGTCATGTACCTCATAAATACATGCAGGCACTATGTACCCACAAAAAATAATGAAAACAGAAATATTAGTTTTAGTAGCACTGTTAAAAGTAGTAAATGTAACTATATATGAAAGCATATAAAAATTGGGAAGTGTTAAATAAATGTGAGCTAATAGCACTGATTCTTCTTTTATTTTTCTTGAGTAAATGGTTAGGACCCAGTACAATATTCACTTGAAGTGGGAATAGCAAGTGTCCTTGTCTAGTTCCTGGTTTTAATGGAAAAGCTTTTAATATTTTACCATTAAGTATGATGTTTGCTGTAGTTTTTTAAAAAGTGTTAATACTTTTTATCAGATTAAGGAAATTTAAGCTTCTGATATTGTTTTTGGTGATAGTAATACAGCAGATGGTGGAAGAATAGGAGAATTTTAAAGCAAATACGCTTTCTGACTTCAAGGAATAGCAAGTTAAAGCAGGGATTGGCGGCTGCAGGCTGTAAGCCAATTCTTGCTCACTGCTTTGTACAGCTCATGATTGGCTTTTATATTTTTTAATTATTGCAATATTAAAATGAATAATATTTTGACATGTAAAATTTACATGAAATTCTAATTTCATCTTTTATTGGAACATATCCTTACTGTCTTTAGCTGCTTTCATTCTACAATGGCAGAATTGAGTATCCGTGACAGACTGTACGTGGCGCTCTCATCAGGCACTTGTAGTACTAATTGCTTAATCATTTCAGGCACTTATAGAACTAATCATTTCATCATTTCAGATTGTTGTATGACCAATGCGGTTATAAATTGACAGCATTTTTAAAGTGTCACGTGTATTGTTGTACTGTGACAATTATATTTTTATTACCTGTGCATACCCATCATGTAAAAACCAGAAGAGAAAAGTGAACTTTGAATGTTGCACTTTTAGTATGTAATGGAATGTGGACTATTTTGTTATTAAAATGCAAGCATTCTACTTTTTATGCAATGACGTTACAGCTGTGCTAAAATAGTACAATATGTATTGACACTACCATACTAACTATACATCATATTCCCAGCTCACAGAAAGCAATGGACACAAAAATTAGAAAATTTTAAATAGAATATATTATTGCAGAGTTTCTTCATAAAACTAAAAGGGAAAATGGGGCTTTAGCCAAGGGAAGTTTCTGAGCGACTTGTTTGTGAAGAAAGGAAAGCCATTTACCAATGATGAGTTAATTGTTTGCTGCAGCAGAAGAAATGTGCTCAGGGAAAATATACTTAAGACTAGTAACGTTTCAGCAAGAGCAGTTGCCTAAAGAATTGAGAAAATTCAGAAAAACAAACATGAGTAGTCTGTTAAAGAACAAGGCAAATGGTTTCAAGTGATCTTCCTTGGCTGTTGTTGAGTTGACAAATGTTATCAGTACCGCTCCGTTGTAGTCTGAGTTGTCAACACTGAGCTTGAAGTGACTGAAGAATTAGTCTCTATAAAAAGTTTTTGCAGAACAACTTTATGTGAGAATATTATCAATGAAGTTTAGAAAACAGCCATTTACCACAACCTGAAGTGGAATCCACTAAGATGTACTGTAAGTATTGGTAGTAAAAATATGTATATAGTAGAAAAAGACTTAGTTGTACACATAGTACAACACTCTTGAAACTGTAAGGTGTTTAAATTCTGTGGTTATTCATTGTATTATTCAACAACAGGTACTTTGCAGAACATATTTGAATTTGTTGTTGTGTAGTGCCAAAGGGAATTTCATTGCTCTCATGGACTTAACCATTGTCAGTTATGTGAATTTTAATCAGGAATAGAGGCTGACTATCTTGACTTGCCTCACAGCAGTTTATGGCTTAGCAGTGGTAAAGATTTATAGTGATATTTTGAGCTCAGAATCTAGATTAAAATACTTCTGAATGAGAAGAACCAACTTTAGCTACTGTGTTTGAATACTGACTGGCTTTGGAAATTAGCTTTTGCTACAGATTTGATAATGGTTCTTAATTAATCCAACCTAAGATTGCAAGGCAAAACAATGTATATATGCAAAACCTATAATGTGGAAAAGTCATTTAGAAAAAAACATTGTAATGACAAGTAATCTTTTTAAAAGTGCTATAACAATGAAGACAAGAAGCAAGATCACCATTCCCGCACAAATTTGCAGCAAATACATTATCTGAGCTGAAATTATAGTTCCAGTAGAATTTTTCAGACCTCAATGCAAGTGCAAAGGAAATTTCCATGTTTCTAAATCCATTTCACTGTATAATTGAAGAGCTTCAGTCTTTGATTGGAAGTGATTAACTTCTAATGTAATAATATTCTAAGAGAAGAATCTAATAGAATTTTATAAATGCCTTCCAAACTAGTGAATATGCTCAGTTAAAATCATGTGCTTGTGGATTGATATCAGTATTTGGCAGTAATTACCTGGGTGAAAAGACATTTTAAAAGATCAAATATGTAAAATCTCATTACAGATCAGCATTAATGGATTATCATTTGCAGTCAGTTTTGATGATAGAGAACACTTAGCTTTGAACCTCAATTAGGCAAAATGTTTTTTCAACACCGCCCCCCCCGCCCCGCCCAAAGTATTCCATTCTTTTTACTGGTAGACTTATATTACAAAAAAATGAACTCAATTATTATGTAGGTTGAACATTCCAAATCTGAAAATTCAAAATCTGAAATGCTTCTAAATCCAAAAATTTTTTGAGTGCCAATGGGATACTCAAAGGAAATAGTCCTTGGAGCATTTTGGATTTTGGATTTTTGGATTTGGAATGCTCAGCTGGGGTATATTCTGCAGATATCCAAAATACAAAAAATCTGAAATCTGAAACATTTCTAGCACCAAGAATTTCAGATAAGAGATACTCAACCTGTATTTCAATTTAATCAATAAAATTTTGTGGAAATTTTGTACTTTTTAGGCTGGGCACAGTAGCTCATACCTCTAATCCAGCACTTTGGGAAGCCAAAGCAGGTGGATCACCTGAGATCAGGAGTTTGAGACCAGCCTGGCCAACATGGTGAAACCTTGTCTCTACTAAAAATACAAAAATTAGCTTGATGTGATGGCACACGCCCCTAATCCCAGCTACTTGGGAGGTGGAGGCACAAGAATTGCTTGAACTCCGGAGGCAGAGGTTATAGTGAGCCGAGATCACACCACTGCCCTCCAGCCTGGGTGACAGAGCAATATCCTGTCTCAAAACACAAAAAATATAGATTTGATTTTGCATTTTGGCCCATAAAGCCTAAAATACTTTTTTCTTTACAGAATAAGTTTGCTGACACCTGGATCAAAGTACAGATGTTTGGCTTCATCTTATCTAACAAAAAATTACTGTTTTCTTTAAAGATGTTAGCAGATTTTGCACCCTTTTAAAAAGTAATAAGTTAGCTAGCACATTAAAGACTGATCTATTTTGAAAAACATTTTTATAGTAAAATCATCTTTTTATATATTTTTCTTTGAAGTTTTACATAAATGATGTACTTTGAATTTCGTATTCAGGTGTTTGTTACCTAGAATTTCAGTGAAAAGAAGTAATAATTTTATTTATAAATTTAATTAAGAATAATTATTTATATTTCATTTAATAACACATTCAAGTCATAAGTTCTTCTTTCCATATGGAATAGTTTCAATTTATAGTAGTTAAATATTTCTAGAGAAAAACTAGAAACTTAAATAAATTTGTAAATCAAACATTGACATTCATAAAAGATCTCCTCTAAGATGATTATTTCTGTTCCACCATGCCAACCTATATAAGCAGGCAAATTTTAGAAATGTTTAATTTGAAAAGTTATTAGTATTCTTTTCCATGTCCCTTCTCAGATGTAATATGATAGATTTTCAAGGTTTTTTTTTTTTAAAAGTAGTGCTAAATAGTTTCAGGGTTGACTAAATAAAACATGTACTTATTTCCTTATAAACAAAGAGAACATTTTTATTACCAGTGTATAAAAAGAGATTTGATACTGATTTTGTAAATTAATGCAGGTAGCATATTGAAAAAGAAATAATAGAAAGTAATGTTTCTGAAAACGTTAAAAAATATGTATATATATTTCAATTTAGAAAGGTGCTTTATGCTATGTAAAGTCAATTTTTTTCCTAAATGGCTTGTAATATACAATATAGGCAAAAATATGAACTATATGTGGGTGAAGATTGAGATAATTTTTGTCTCTAAAAATCAGTTAAATTTTGAGAAATCCTAAAATGAGAAGGTTTTCTTGTGTTTGCTACTGTTGTGTTTGGCATGATTTTTTTCTTATATCTAAGTATCTTAATATTTGATTTAGCTTTGATTTGAATCTTGTTTTCTAGATGAAGCACTGGATGATTTAAAGTCCCAGAGGAAAAAAATAGTAAGTTAACTTTTATTTAAAATTAATTTATATTAAACTAATAAGAACAGAAAAATTAATGTTTATGTGTTATAGGTTAATAACTCTCCAAGGAACAAGTATGCTTTTAGATAGCATTTTAATGATGAAGTGAAATTGTGAATATTTTTGCTAGTTAATAATGATTGACAGGAAAAAGTAGTTTAGAAGGATTTTCGAGATTCTGAGAATTTATATCAGTGGGAAGCTGAGAAGTAAGTAAATGAATCATACTGGAGGCCTAAATGATGCAAAGAGGGTTAAAAAGGTGGATACCCAGATTGTTTATTAGAGCTAAAAAAGGACCAAATATCTCTACAAGTCAGTTCTCAGGTTTTCTTAACACCAAGAAAGAGAGGGAATCAAGAAGACTGGTTGTAAGAGAGAAATTCAACATGAGAATACTGAAGAAGAGATGGTGGCGGGGGAGAGAGAGAGAGAATTGTTTTCTTCCGAGTTTTCTACTTTCTGTCACTAACTCTGATCACATTGATATCTATTGTGGGGCTAGTTGATGCATCCCTTTGGATGTGTTGGAAAGAGGGCCAAGAGTAAGACAGGAGGAGCTCTAGCTGTTGATATATAGTAGTCTGTAGTAAGTGAATTGAAGTTGGTATTTGACACAGAGCTCCTTATTTTTTATATGATTATTTTTGAAGTATGAAAATGATGACTGCTGATAGTATTATGTTGTATAGAAATGCATTTAATGAAATTTAGTCAGGTGCAAATGATCAATCAATATATTTTAGTCTAGTATGTAACAAGTAATAATTATGAAACCAATATTATGAAGGTTAAAATTAATGTTAAAAATTTTTCTGTGAATTGATAATAAGAGATACTGGCCTTAAGGGCTTTAAGTACCTGAAAAGTAAGAGAAATATTTAATTTTAAAAGGATTCCTTAGCTTTATTTGTTTGCTCCTTATTCAGTATACTATGAAGTATTTATCAAAATTGCGTTGGCAATTTTGGTGGTCCAAGCAAAACACAGAAATATCTTAGTATTATGTTTCTCCTATTCTGCACATTATGGAACAGCCAGAAATTCAAAGTGAGGAAATACTGATGGTCTCAGTGATTTAGAAGTTGTGATATGATTGGTTTGGCTTGCTGATGAGATAAAAAGAAGAGCTGGTACTGGTGATCAGAAACAAGTCCTGCTTATACCAAAATGGCAAAGTATTAAAGTAGAAAAGATGAAGAAGAAGACAAAAGAAAAGCAGAAAACAAAAAAGTCCTAAGTGATGAGAAGCAGGTCAATACCACTGGCATCACATGGCCAGAAAATAGGATCTTGAAGAATATATGATTTTGGAAAATCTTTCAACAGAGTAACAGAGCCGACTTGGAAAATTGTGTGAAAGGACAAGTCAAGCTATTTACTACTTTTAAAATAGCCTTTAAAGGAATCTCATCATAAAAGATGATCCATTTTAAGTCTGACAACAGTTGGGAAAGTTCAGCGTTCACTAGCTCTGTATGTTTAAATGGCTCATTAGGCCTCAGTATTAATAATTCAGTATGGCATTTCTCTTGCAGCATGACTAAAGAAAAGTAAGTTGGCGCTAATTTATTAATTAAACACAATTTGCATTTACTTGGTTATAATACTGTTTGCTACTGGAACTAGTCTGTGGTCAAGCCCTTAACAGAGCTACTTTGAGTAGTTTTACACTTTGGTTTATTTATTTACTTTTTTGAGATGGAGTTTTGCTCTTGTTGCCCAGGCTGGAGTGCAATGGTGCGATCTCGGCTCACTGCAACCTCTGCCTGCCAAGTTCAAGCGATTCTCCTGCCTCAGCTTCCCAAGTAGCTAGGATTACAGGCATGTGCCACCATACCTGGGTAATTTTGTATTTTTAGTATAGATGGGGCTTCACCATGTTGGCCAGGCTGGTCTCAAACTCCTGACCTCAGGTGGTCCACCCACCACAGCCTCCCAAAGTGCTGGGATTACAGGTGTGAGCCATCACGCCCGGCCAGTTTTACACTTTGGAAAGATAGGTGTTAAGGGCAAATTAGTAAGGAGCATAGTGCTAACTAATGATCATGTTAGTAGTGGGCGGCAAAAGGTAAACATAATCAAAACTGATCTTGTTCATTGATGTTTAGGTTTAAATACTACATTTATAGTTTCAAAAATACTTTTATTGCTGAAATGACTACAGAAAAAAGAACTCTTGTCAATCTAAAACTATGTAAGTCCCAACTTTCTCTTTCATTAACAAAATTAATGCAAATTATATTTACTACTTGATATTTTATTAAAAGTGGTTTTCTTGGGGATGCATCCCTTTAATCTGAATAGATTTGTAATGTAATTTGAAATCTGTAAAATTGTAATTTGTAATGACAGATATGAATTATCAATTGATTAAAAAGTTAAATTAGGAAAATGTAGCATCTTAATGTTTTCAGAGCTTAGTGTATTTACTTATTAATATAAAGTTAGGAAGTAATCTTTAGTTAGCTAAAAAATTATCAAGTCTAGATGTGTGCATTTTACCACTCACATATTTTGTGGTCCTTTAATAAAACTTTAGTTTTTAATAATCACGGAGTAATCTGTGCAAGCAGATAATCCCTCTGCATCCATAAACATTCCTTCAAAACAGTTCAAAAGTCAAGCTGTATCAAAATACATGAGTCAAGATTACCTCTTTAAGTGGCTTCATGAAAATTTTGTGCTTTTTTCAGAATGGTAGTCCTATGTAGTAATTTCTAGCATTCTTCGGGAAATTTATGTTTTTCTGAATCCTGAGAAAAATCACTTGAGAAATTGGGAACTTGACGAAAAGTGTTATGGTTCCCTGAGAATTAAAGCTTAGCAATCAACTACAGATGTCACTAGTTCAAAGGAATCCACTAATGTCAGCTGAAAGCAAGAGCAAGAAATTCTGACATGCCGAGTTACAGGTTAATGTTGACATTTCTCGGAACAGTACAGAAACATCTAGAAGCGGTACAATCTAATCAGTCTTGGGGGCATGTTATAAGTGTGCTTTTATGGCTTTCTCTTATTAATGGTGAGTCATTCTTATAAATATTAATGTTTATATATCTACTATACTTTATAAATGTATAAAGTATGCTTTGTACAAATTCTATGCATGTTATTCCATGAAATAAGTTTTGGAAGCAAAAGAAGTCCTTAAATTGGCAGTTTTAGCTTTTATTCTTTATAGAGCTCTTAACCTTATAGCGCCTTCAAATGTTACATTTTTATATTACCCAGTAATATTTTCTGGCTTTTCCCAGTATTTGAATATTCACTTTAGGCCACACAGTAACAGAAGAAAATGCAAAGAAGAAAGATGTGACTATTATTGTGGAATATTCTTATATGAAAGCAGAAAATGCTGTAACATCTGAGTTAGTAAAAACATCATCACTTTCAACAGCAACCCCCAAATCAGGGTAACGAGAAAGTATTTTCAGCATGATAAAAGGACAAGTTTATATGGTATAACATGCTCCCTAATACTCTGAATTGCAAAGTCATTGCAAAATGAAAGAAAGTTTTCTTACATCTGGAATATTTGTCATCAATAAATATTGGATAGGGAAATTAATGCTTTGTGTGTTTTAAGATTCTATTTCAAGAATGATTATTTCAGTATTAAGTATTTGTAGAATTGTCTTTCAAAACTTAAAAAGTTTTTTTTTTTGACATTTATTTTGTGCTAGTGTGCCCTTCTTTTAATGTTTTCCAAGATGAAATGGCTATATTAAATAGAAATGATTTCACAATAATGTTATCATGTAATATAATCATGTATTTATGTTCTATCTTTTAAAACAAAAAAACTCCTAAAACTTATAGTACCACCATATTACAGAAAAATGATTCATTCTTTGTTATATCACTCATTATGTTTAAAGTGCAAACTTATTAAAAATAGAGTAATTTATGTTTTAGGGCAGGTGTATTCAATCTTTTGGTTTTCCTGGGCATATCATATGGGAAGAAGAAGAATTGTATTGGGCCACAAATAAAATACACTAGCATTAACGATAGCTGATGAGCTCGAAAATAAAAAATTGTGAAAGAAGTTATAATGTTTTAAAGTTTATGAATTTGTGTTAGTCTGCATTCAAAGCTGTCCTCGGCCACATGTGGCCTTTGGCCGAGAATTGGACAACCTTGATTTAGAGAATTCTCAGGAATTCTAGTTTCTTGTTCCTGAATCTTGAGGTTAATCTGTTGAGTTTTTGAAAATTGTTTTAGGCCCATTTTGAATAATTGAGGTGTCATTGAAAATTATGTTAATGTTTTAGGCACTGTTGTGGACCCTTTCTCCTACATTACGTTTTTAAAAAACTGCACAGTAGTGCTGTGAAGAAAGTATTAAAATATCTATGCAGAGGAGAAACTGAGGCTGACAAACATGCTGACAGTCTTCCTAAGAATGGAAATGTGCATTGAACCCAGATCTTTTCTCACTTTGAAGCTTCAAGTTCATGTTCTTTCCACTGAACAGAGCGTCTCTTTATTCAAAACATATTATTCACTTAAATGTTGTATGAATGTGTGTTAGTTAAGCTATTATGTGAAAATATTTTACTAGAAGTAAATGCAAAAGAAGGGAAATAGATTTGTATCTTTTAGTATTAAAAATGATTTTATTTAAGATAAATAAAAACATAGATACACTTGAGTACTTGCTGAATAATTACCAGAAATGTAATCATTTGAAAAATTAGTATTTTGGTTTGGGGTTTTGTGTGTTGTTTTAAAGATCACAGTTTAATCTTTTTAAACCTAGTAGTAGTTTTAGTCTAGAGATATCTGTCCAAATCAGTATGACTATTTACATTTACATTATTTAAAATGAAATAAAACTACAGGAAGGGTGCAGTGGCTAACACCTGTAATCCCAGCACCTTGGGAGGCTGAGGCTGGTGGATCATTTGAGGCCATGAGTTCGAAACCAGCCAGGCCAACATGGGGAAACCTCATCACTACTAAAACAAAATTAGCCGGATGTGGTGGCGTGCACCTGTAATCCCGGCTACTCGGGAGGCTGAGGCAGAGAATCACTTGAACCTGGAAGGTGGAGGCTGCAGTGAGCCAAAATTGCATCACTGCACTCCAGCCTGGGCCACAGAGTGAGACTCCATCTAAAACGAAACAAAACAAAACAAACTACTACAGTTCAGTTCTTCAGTTGCACAAGCAGCATTTTTAAGTGCTCATTTATTACATAGGACTTAGTGGCTACTCTTATGCTGATATAGACGATTTTCATCTTTACATAAAGTTTTATTGCACAACACTGATATAAAACATCAAAAGTCTAATGTGTAGAGTACAGAGATTTGGTTCTTTGTTATTCCATGTCGATTATGTTGATTTGGGGATATATTTTATTATGCCCTCTTTCTACCTCCATTCGTAGTTTTTCTAACTCTAAAGTGATACTATAAACATCTCCTTTACATCAGAAAAGTCAACTTGCTTATTCTGAGAATTTATCATAATTTTGATATAATTAGGAAAATATTTTAGTTTCACTAAACCAAAGCAAGTCTAATAAATCATTCATCTAAGTACCTAACTTCTTAAATGTTGTATTGAGTGTTTAATGAGGAATCTGTTAACTGCTATTGTGGCAGCATATTTTTAACTCAGTAAATATGCTCTGGGTTGCATTTTAAAATAAATCTCCTTTGGAATGAATATAACATTTAATGAATCTAAGTGGTTATCAGTGGTCACTGAGAAAGAAAAGGTTCTGCTCCAATTTTTGCAAAAGCGTTTTATCCTTCACATTAGGTAATTTGTCATAACTATGACTGTCTTGTACTAAAGTTCAACTTTTTTTGATGTTGGGCCATAACCACTAGTGATACTTTACTAGTGATTATATTTTAAGTTAAGCCCATGTATTAAGCTATAAAGTGACTTGAGTGAATGGTAAATAAAATGTTACAATAACGAAGTTATTTAATTGTAGCTCCTAGTGTGAACGTAGAACTCAGTAAAATTTTTACTTAAATTCTGTATTCAGTTTTTTCCGCTAAAGTTGTTTGGATCTAAGTAAAAAAGAGGTGAGGGTTATCTTTTAAGGTCATTTGAACAAATTCCATGGCTGTTCTCCCAGTTAGTGAGTTTTCACTGCATTTGCAGCAAGCTAATTGCTTTTGCTAATAAATAATCTAAAATCGATGCTGACAGCAGTTAATTGGCACAGAGATTTTATTTTGTAAAGCTCTTGGCTAACGACCTTCTTTAAATTAATAGCATTAAGTGCTATGAGGAAATAAATCTGAGGAATTGCCTGTCATTTGCTTGTCATGTCTAATAACTTCCAATAATGATGGCTGATAGATTTTTGCACATTCCATTATTGAAGTTGGTGCATGTAATTATTCTCCTCATTATATGTAAACAATTAGCAATATTTGGTATTTTCTTGCAGTAAAGCTATTAAGTACAAGTAACAGAGGTTAGAAGCCGTTTTAAAAATCTGGATTTTAATTATTTGAACGTAGGAAGTCTTTCATTCTATTTGGACATATTAAGGGTATTTATTTTAAACCTTTTTGAATAGGACTTATAAAAATAAGTATTATGTGTTTTAAAATGTGACAATTTATGGAAGTTTTTGTTTGTAGCTTGAAGAAGTCATGGAAAAAGAAACTTACAAGACGGCTAAATTAATTCTTGACAGGTTTGATCCAGACTCAAAGAAAGCAAAGGTAAGACTGTGATATCATTACTATTTTATTATAAATTACACATTGTAATAGGTCACTGTAATAACATTATTATAATTGACAGGAGTGTGAGCCGCCATCTGCTGGAGCAGCTGTAACTGCAAGAGCTGGACAAGGTAAATAACTTTGTAGAAACTGCTGCTGCTGTTGGAAAGATCCATATTTACCCAAGTGAGTTCAAAAGTGTGTTGGAGGTGTGCAAAAACTTATGTAGAATGCCTTTATGTTAATTTATAGTTGGTAATTTGGGATATGACTTAGGGTGGATGGTAATAATTTTATTTCATTTTGATTTTATGGGAATATGTTAAGTTAGGATATCACATCTGTTGAGATTAAATATAAAATTGTTTTTAATCTTTTAAAATTTAAGTAATTTCATCAAAATTTTGTAAATATTTCCCACTTTCAGATAATAATCTCTTGGAATATCTGTTATTATTTAAATCCTTACCTTTTTATGTTTTATTTTTGAAAAATGTAATGGTTTCTGTGAAATTTGAAGTTTCTTTTAAAATAATACCTAAGAATAGAATAAAATAATTTAGAAATAAGAAAAATGAAAATTGAATTATTACTATATAATATTAACGATTTTTGAGGTTATATTACCATATTATTAATGAAGTCATCACTATTACATCATTAAATGTAATATAAAATTTTAACAGTCATTATATTAAGTGATTACATAAAATATTCCTAAGCCTGGCATGGGAAAAAATATTCTGAGTTTGCAACAACTTTCGTCTTTGTTATTTTCTCTAATAGTATAGCTTGTAAGGGTTTTGTTGCAATATAGAATATGTTACTTTAAAAAATTTAACTTCAATTTTTGCACCCCCCCCCACCAAGAATTATAACCTGCTTTGTAAAGGTAGAATGACATTTATTTATTTATTTATTTATTTATTTATTTTTGAGACGGAGTTTCACTCATGTTACCCAGGCTGGAGTGCAATGGCGCGATCTCGGCTCACCGCAACCTCCGCCTCCTGGGTTCAGGCAATTCTCCTGCCTCAGCCTCCTGAGTAGCTGGGATTACAGGCACGCACCAGCATGCCCAGCTAATTTTTTTGTATTTTTGGTAGAGACGGGGTTTCACCATGTTGACCAGGATGGTCTCGATCTCTTGACCTCGTGATCCACCCGCCTCGGCCTCCCAAAGTGCTGGGATTACAGGCTTGAGCCACCGCACCCGGCCTTAGAATGACATTTAGACCCTTGAAAGGAAATCTTTTTATAAATATTCACAAAGATCATGGATATTAAAGAAGTCATAATAATTTTAGGTTTTCTGATTGGCAGGGCTGTATGGGAAGAATTCCCTCTACCTCCACATCATCCATAAGTAGTATTTTGGTTCATAGAAATATTAACCTTTTTTTTTATTTTGAAGCCTTCACTTTTGCAAAAAGTGAAAGTTCACATATGATTAAGATGAATTAGGCATATAGTTGCAATAAACTCCTACTTTCATAACCAGTTTAAATTTTTCTACAATGTATATATGTCTTTCTAGCAAATACAAAAACATTTTTTGGCCTATAGACCACATTTCTATAATTTCTAAAGCATTTGTATAACTGGTACTAATTTTTCAGAAACACACACACACACACACACACACACACACACACACACACACGGAGGTAACTGAGTTTCTGTGCTTACTGATTCCAGATAGAGGAATGAATGTTCCTCCCAGTGTTCCTCTGGGAGGAACATTGATTCTTGAGGGAAGAATATTCCAGATAGAGGAATCAGTAAGTGCAAAGACCCTGAGTGAAGAACATGTCTGGAGTGCTGTGGAATAGCAGGGAGGCCTGTATGACTGGACTAGGGAGAGTAGGAAGAGTGGCAGCAAGAAAGTAATAAGGGGTCATCTCATGTAAGGCTTTGTAGAATGTGGACCATTGTAAAAACTTGAGTTCGCAATTAGGATTTTTTGTTTAGAAGTTTTGTTTTGAGCAGAGAATTGACATGGTCTCCATAATGTCATCAAGGCTACAGTATTGAGAAGAGGCTGCAGAGGGAGCAAAGGTGAAAGCAGGAAGACTAATTAGGAAGCTACTGCAGTAATACAAGAAAGCATTTGATGATAGCTTAGACCAGGAGTATCTAATCCCTAGGCTACATTGGAAGAATTGTCTTGGGTTACATATAAAATACACTAACACTAATGATAGCTGATGCTAAAAAAAAAAAAAAAATCTCATAATGTTTAAGAAGATTTAGAAATTTGTGTTTGGTTACATTCAAAGCCATCCTGGGCCACAAGCAGCCCATGGGCTGTGAGTTGGACAAGCTTGGTTTAGACCTTGGATAGCAATATTGGAAGTGGTTTTTAAAAATAATTAACTTGGCCAGGCATGGTGGCTCACACGTGTAATCTCAGCAGCCTGGGAGGCCAAGGTGGGTGAATCACCTGAGGTCAGGAGTTTGAAACCAGCCCGGCCAACATGGTGAAACCCCGTCTCTACTAAAAATACAATTAGCCAAGAGTGGTGTTGGGTACCTGTAATTCCAGCTACTTGGGAGGCTGAGGCAGGAGAATTGCTTGAACCCGGGAGGTGGAGTGTTTAGTGAGCTGAGATTGTGCCACCGCACTCCAACCTGGGCAACAGCATGAGACTCCATCTCAAAAACAAACTAATTTTTTAAAATTTAATTTCCTCTTTCTCTACACCCCAGCTTAAGGTGGTTTATGAAATGGTCAGATTTTGTATATATTTTAAAAATAGAACCCAAAAGATTTCTTGATGCATTGGATATGGAGTCAGAGGAGGAGGAGTCAAGGATGACCTTAAAGATTTTGGCCTGAGTAACTGGAAAGATGGAGTTGCCATTTACTGAGATGGTGGAAACTGCAAAAGAAATACTTTCTGGAGAGGTTCAGAGATGGAGTAGTGAAGAACAAGGTTGATTTTAGACATGTTGTGTTTGAGATACCTATTAGACAGACATCCAACTAGAGATTTCAAGAAAGCAGTCGAATATGAGTCTGGCAAACAGGAATTTTCTGGGCTGGAGATACAAGTTTTTGTGTTATTAGCATGTGGATTTTATTAAAACAGTGAGCATGTATTGAAAATTAAAGTAGAAATTACAGATTTTTTTTTATCTTTATACCAAATGGAGCAATACTTTATATTTTGCTGTTTTTGGGGGATGTGTTTGATTAAGAGAATCTGAAAAATGCCTTATAAAATAATAAATTTACCTTAATAAATTTGCCTTGTAAGAAATTTGGTTGTTCTTTACCTAAGTATCTACTTTATACTGTTAAAATTATTTAGTATATAACAAACCATCCTAAAATTTAGTGATTTAAAATAGCATTCTTTTTTTTTGCTCATGAAATTTGCAATTTGGCTAGGGTTTGGTGGAGACAGCTCATCTATGTCTCACATCAGTTGAAGCTACTTTATTGAGCTAGAGAATCTACTATCAAGGTAGTTTACATGGCTGACAAGTTGGTGCTAGCTGTTGATTCCTCTCCATGTGGACTTCTCTCTGGGGTCACTTGAGCTTACTCCTCCATGATGGTGGTTTCCAAGACCAAGGAGTATAGCAGACAGAAAGTCCTGGATTCTGGCACAACTTTGTTCTGTTGGTTCAAACCGTCAGAGTACAGTTTCAAGGGGAGGGTATATAGATATCCTCACTCCCATTTGTTGAAAGGAGAATCAAAGAATTTTGGACTCTTATTTTATTTTATTTTATTTTTTTCTCCCATTTATTTATTTTATTGCATTTTAGGTTTTGGGGTACATGTGAAGAACATGCAAAATTGTTGCATAGGAACACATGTGGCAGTGTGATTTGCTGCCTTCCTCCCCATCACCTACATCTGGCATTTCTCCCCTTGCTATCTCTCCCCAGCTTCCCACCCCCCACC